ACAGAAAAATGTGGATTTGGGGTTACCTTTTTAACCAAATATTGGGGATTTTTTAAATCAGAGAAAACCAGAATCCCTGGTACTAACCTTAATAAGTCACTATATTTGCAGGATTTACAAGTGAATGTGTGATACTGGATACTAACTTTAATACATCACAACATGCCAGTGATTTTCAAGTATTGCAAGTGGATGTGTGACAAGGCTCTCATATCTGTATACAGACTTACCCTTTCCATTTCTTTGAAGTCCTCATCCAACTTGGTTCCTTCTGCACCTCCAACCTTCTCACTCACTTTCTGTGGAATTGAATAAAAAGGTAAAATCAGCAATGACTGAAAATCTAACCAAAGTTCCCTTATGTGACGGTGTTATCATATCAGGAGCTAGCAAGTATGGCGACTAGACATACCAACCACTTGCTTATGCAGAACTTGTTTTAAATATGGCTTAGTAATCAATCCTCTTAGGTCCTAGTCCTTCACTAGAGTCACTGAGGGTACATTGGTCTTTGCACAATCACAACTGTACTTCTCAGTGAAATAAATGCCCACATCTTGAAATTAAAAAGCAAATCAGCAGCAATAACACAGATGTGTTCAGCAGACAGCAATATCCAGGGCAGGGGAACTTGGGCAAAAGGGAAGTACATGAATAGAAAGGACTGGGGAGAAATTATACAACGTCTTATGCCAGCTTTGTGGTGCCCCTAGAATCACTGGATACAAAAGGATGACCCTCTCCTGCCTGAGCAAAAGGAGCACACCCATCAATTCAGAGCAACAGGTTAGAATCCCTTGCACATGATCTATCCCCTGCTAAGGAAAACAAAGAGCAAAAGCATGTTATGAGGTACATTGTTCCCTGGGTTGGAGATAGTCAGTTTGACCTTCAGGAAATGTATTTGGCAAGGCTTCATTGCTCATAAAATATTCAACTGAGAAAGCAATTTGTAAACAACTTTGTGTACTATTTCATTTTCCTAATTCAGGTTGGAACACATAACATTAGTTTCCCTTTACTGTTGACAAAACTAATGATAACAGATTTAATAGGTGACCACTATTGCAGCACCAGTCATAATGAATCTGTAGAAAACTCATGGTAAGAGCACTATTAATCACGATGAGCTGAATTTATTACTGATGTAACTCCACAGATGTTAATTAAATGGGTCTGATCTGATGAAAGTATGCTTATGTGTAAGTACCCTTATGCTTTGTGCATATCTGTCATACTACATCAGACTTAGCCGCTACTTTTATTTTCCACAAATTTTGTATGCATTTACTGCATATACATTTCATTTTTCAAATTCTTCTAGGAGCCTAATTCTGATGTCTCTTATATCTGTTTTTCTGTGACAGAACTATTCATTTCAGGAACGTGTGTTAGAAATGTGCAATGGAAATCAAAATCATACTATGTTCCTACCCGGATCCACCAACCTGCTTTACTTCTTTCTAGCTTGGTTCTAAGCAGCAAGCCACAGGCAGGAGCAGACTGACATTTAATTTTGTTTCTTGTGAGAGGCATGTAAGTACACTTGTCTGTCATGAACAAGATCAGGACACCTGATTAGTTTCTAATTTGTAGTGCTGAACTTTCAGCACACTAGGGCTAGGTATAGACATTCAAAAACCTAAGGTGGAATTAATCTAAGTCGCACTGTTTTCTGTAAGTGGCATAGTTTAGTTCAGTAGTGAACAGAACACACATTTGCCCTTTGGGGTTGGAAGGCGTCTTAGACTGGGTTCTCTCATTTTTAAACCAGTCTGTGTGTGCCAAACTTCTGTTTTGTTATGAGTATAGACCAGTTTCCGATCACTTACACCTGTAAAAGTGTAACGTCTGTACCTGAGGACTTACTAACGCAGAGCCTTTTTACACAGCCAACTGTGTAAATCTGTCCAACAGGAAATAGGTTGAGCTTCTGCTTGTTTCCTGTCAACCCCTATAAGTTGAATCTGAAATGTGGAAAATAAAGTCTTGGGTAGGTTGTTAATGAGGCATTGATTCTTGGTAGTTTCCACCAGAAAATAAAGGCAGTGCATTTCCTCAATAAAGAATATTTTTGCAGAGCTGAAAAGGCTCATTGAAGACACTCTCCTGTTGGTAGTCTGAATGCAGATGAATTTGCATGGTCTGCATTACTAAGCCTGTGCCATACAAGGCTTACTAAGGTATGTAGAAATCCAGGCATGTGAAGTTCAGTAAAGCCAGGAACAATTCTATGCTGGATATGGGGGGACAGGGAAGGGAATAGAATCCCAGGTGACCTAAAAGCTAGTATTCATCCACAGTTTTTATAATTCTATGAAGCCCAGTGGTAACAAGGGCTCTGGAGATATCCCAAGAACCAGAGAACCCTGGAGAATCTCTCTTCCCCCTCAAAACAAGAGGAACCTTGGCATAGAGAGATAAAATCCATGTATGCAACTTCTGACGTGATAATTAAATCATTGTAAAAGCATGCAGTGAATAAGCATATTAGCATCAAGTTCTCAAACTGGTATGTTATTGTTTGACATGCTTTTGATACCAAAATACAAACCATACTGACATAACTGATGCTCTAGCCTCTTGTAGGCTTATCAGTAGTGGTTTTTTTCCCAAGAATGACTGTCCCTTAGAAAGTTTTTGTTTAAGGGCTCAAACAAGACATTGTACAGACCTGATGTATCATCCTCAGCATACCTGCAGAACTCCTAAGGATCCCTTCTCACTTCCCCAAGCTTCCATGTTTGCAGCTTCCCATAAACAGTAACTACTCTAGACCCTGAGGACAACAATGAACTTTAGCTTTTCTTGATGCTGCTTCTTAATCAGCTAGAGGGTCCATTGATAAGTTAAGGAAGCAACTTACCCTCCCCTTCTCTCTAAGAATCTTTGTCTTAGTTCTTTAATCTTTTGCTTAGCCCTTATCAGCCTCAAAGTTAGCACTGTGACTCACTGCCTTACACATGTGCACATGTGTGTGCACGCGCCTGTGCACACACACACACACACACACAGAGTCTTGCAAACATACCAGAAGTGGAGATGCATCTTTCCAGCAAGGAGGTACTAAACTAATGACCAAGGTACCCAAGGCACAATACCGGTGGGGGGGGAGGGGAGGACCTCAAAGACATGACATCTGGAAACACAGAAAAATATTACTGCTTTCCACCTCACAGGAACCCAGGCCAAGCAACTTTTACTTCTTAACCAAGATGTACACACCTGGCATCCCAAGATACCCCATTGTCTCTGGCACTGGCATCACTGTGGGGGGAGTTTCTGGCTATGTTGACTCGATCCTATCCTATGTTCACTCTATTCCAATATGCCCTGGTGCTGCCAGCTATTTGAAAAACACCACATATCTCAAAGAAACTGAGCTCCAATGAAAATCTTCTTCCAGATACCATATTAACTCCCATGGATAAGTCATCTCTGTACATGAACATACGCCATGAGGGCAAATTATAAACCATAAAGAATATTACCCCTGATGAGGACACTGCTTCTGTTTCTTTTGCACTCTCCCACTTTGTCCTTACACAACTATTTCAGAATTGGGGGACTCCCTATACCTACAAATGAATTGCACTGGAATGGGAACTTGTATGCTCCCCCCTCCCCACCATATGCTAATATATTTATTGCAGACCTTGAAATCCACTTTCTTCACAGCTGCCCTCTCATTTTTCTCAGGATTTTAACAACTGTCACCCATCCATCAAACTGACTGAACTGCTTCACTCAGCAAATTCATTTCTGAGACACTATGGTGAAGACTTTTAATGTGCACATCACTGCTACATTGTAGCGGAAACCCACCAATCACCAAAGCTATTTTCACTGTTTCCATCCTAGGCATCACAAAAATGGCATAAAACTAAGTAAGGACAACCAGTCCAGGGCAACCACCCCAAGTGACAACTCAGAGGAGAAGTGGGTGAGAAAAAACCTGCTACTGCCAGCAACCACACAATCAATCACAATTGCACTGGCAGAATTCCTGGAAGGCACCGCTTACTCTTGTGCTCCCAGTGCCCAGCTGTGTCACTACACTGTTGCACTACAGTGAAGGTTTGCAATGGCCACATCATCACCATGTTGTATAGGAAGCCTACTGACTGCCACAGCTACCTGCACGGCACCAACTTACCTCCTAAGTACATTACTAGATCCATCATCTAAAGCAAACTCTACAACTGTGTCTGCTCTAATCCCACCAACTGTAATGCTCATCTTAAGGATCTGGAGCTGGAATCCCTACAATTACAATACAATTCCAGAACCATAGCATTCAGGTCAACAAAGCCAGACTCAGATTCCACTCCCACCTTGCAAAATAGAAACCCCAAGACACTGACAACAGAATCTCTCAGGTTGTCACATAATCCCAGCCTGAGCATCCATAAGCTCCAGTTATTGCTATAAGTACAGTTCTGATATGAGCCTCGGTGTAACTCAGAAATAACTCCACTGAATTCAGTAGAACTGGCAACACATCTGAAGATCAAGATGAAAAATGGGACCTAATACAACCCTATAGCTGGTCTGACACTTATTCACCAGCTGCAAGGAATACCAAAGAATGGATGAAAGTGACTGAATGTTTCCACCTGCAAGCACAGGATGCACTATAGTATTGTAATTTCACAAAGTCAGAACTCTTCTGAATGCCTATCCTGTAGAACTAAATCTGCAAACCGTACTTTCATTCTGAGACAGTCAGCATCTCTGGCTTCTGTGTAAGACTGATTTCTAGGTATGCCGGCTTGCAGAAAAGGGAAATGCAAACCTTTAATTTACCAAATGGTTTCTTATTAGCAGAAGAGATCATATGGGGTTATAAAATATTATTCAATGAAACCTGAGATGGTGGCCAATATCAATTCATCTTGCAAGTTATGCAAATGCATGGAGTCAGATAAGAATAAAATAATATAAAAAAGAATCATTAGCTTGCTATAATGACATAAAGCCTGGTTTTGTCTTTTGGGTTTTTGGGGGGGGATTTAAATGCTACTGGGAGGATTTAATTCTGCAACTCCTGCAAGTTATTTTGGAAAAAAATAGGATCAGCCCCTCACTTGATGTAAATAAAAAAGCTGGGAATCCCAGGAGAAGTAAATTAATTACACACCCATTTAACAGTGAATAACACAGACAAGGACAACAACAAGATAAGGATGTGACATAGATAGCTAAAACCCACGTAAAGACATCATTCAAAAACTGCCATTTGCCTGGTTATAGTCTTCAGCTTTTAAGACAACCACTCTGTCAAAACTTGCTTCTCTTA